TTACTTCAGTTTTGAATTAATCTGAATGACCCCAGCTTTATTGCCTTTGAGTTTCTAAGAATGATAAAACGCCAAGTCGTTGGAAATAAACTGATATAACCTAAACAATCTGACATGAGTAATGTATAGTTTCTCTGACTTGTTCCATATTCTGCAGACTTTACAACCAGCTTCAATATTTTATTAAGAAATACTCGTCTTAATGAATCTGAGTGACTTACTCCTTGCTAAAAATATATCTGTCTTGAAAAGTGCTGTGTGTATCTGTGTTTTATGTCAGCTTTGACCTAAGCTCACAAAAGAAATAAATTGGGAAGCACTGTTTCAGTCATGTTAGCTATAAATGTTTCTTTGGGACATGGCATGTGGGCATTGCAGTCAAACTTTGTTGGACAGTGTAAGTCACTCAACCCTCAAGGAAGTCTTTGAGTCTTATTAGCCTGTAATGGGATTTGTGGATGTACCTTATGCTTACTACTTTGAAAATTCCTCTTTAATCTGTCACTGAAGTATTTCAAAGAAATGACTGGAGTTGGTCTGACTTGACATTTCTTTGTGTTGGCCTTATAAATTGTTCTTTAAGTATAAACACCCTCAGCCTGTCACCTTGAAAGGAGAGAAATCAGTGGAAAAAGTATATAAGCAACATTTTTAGGCTAAAACTAATGGTGTAAATGACCAACCCAGATTACTTATTTTATGAGATGTGGGATTTCTGTTGTTTTCTTTTTTGTCTTAGTCATCTAAACTTAAGAAAATAATTGTTACCTAAACAATAAGACACATTTATTAAGCACTTACTATGTGTGGAGTACAGTGATAATTACTGAGAGAATACAAAGTCAACCTTTCTAAGCTTATTGAACATTAATCACTTCACACTCTACCTTCCAGCTAAATTATCCAACTTCCCCCTTCCCCCCCAATCTCAGTCTCCTGCCTCTTTACCTTTGCATAAGAGGTAAATGCTCCATAGCTAGAATGCACTCCCTCTTCACCTTAGAATATCTAGCTTCCTCAAATGTTTATCTCCCAAGCCATCTTAAATAAGAAGTCTTCTAATTCCAAACTGGCTAAAGACCTCTTTCTTAGTGATCATTACCTTTCCCCCACCCCCCACCCCATGTCTGTGTTTTCCTCTATTAGAGTATAAACTCCAAGGGCATGGATTTTGTATTTTTTCTATTAGTAATCCCACTATTTAATAAGGTGTCTGGCATGCTGTAGGTGCTTAATAAATACTTTTACATTATTCATTCATTTCCTTAGTTGTTAGACTCTCTACTTCCTCCAGGTCAATTATTTGGTGAATACTTACGGTTTACACATTGTACCTCTCCTCACTACTCTTCCTTGAAGGAAGGGGTTAGTTTCCCCTCCTTCCTTTTGTCTTTACATCTCCAATTCCTAGTGCAATGCATGTAGCAAATGCTTGTTGGATTGGAATGGAGTGGTCTTTACCTTCAAGAATTTATATTTATAGCATAATAAAGTAGTGGGCCCTACATATGTAGTAAGACTCCATATATAGTGTGGATTCTTTCTCTGCATAGCTCAAAAGAAGGCAGAATAGACATGGATCAATAGCTTTCCCCCTCTACTCTTCAGCAAAGGAAACTTTTATTTCTGACAGGAGGGGAAGCAGAAAGTTGGGGCTCTAGGCTGCTTTGCTCTTCTCAGAGAGAGAGGGTACCCTGCTGGAAGTATATATTCCTACTCCCTTAAATATTATTAGTCTGGGGGATATGATCAGGTTCCATCTAACTTCTAATTGCTTTGTCATTTTGGGGGAGAGGGGAAACTCAAGCTCTATATCCAAGGTTTAATCATTTTTCCACTAAATACCAGTTACAAAATTAACACATATAGTGAATAGTAAAGAAGCCTATTTATCCAAGTCGTAGCAGAACAAAACTCGGAGAAGTCACGAAGAGGAGAATATATGCCAGACAATACAGAGAGAAGAAGCTTTCCTATTAGGAGAGAGATGACTCATCTCACCCAAGGACATGTCTATGATCTCACCCAAGGGGAATTGCCCCCAAATCTCTAGTGTAGCAAGTCGAGAATATGAACATGAGAGAAACTGCCTGCTCCTCTCATGTCTTTCCAGAGACTTTTCCTGCAGCAGCCTGAAGTGGGTTCTTTCATCTTCTATCTCAAAGCTGGAATCCAAGAGCACCTAAAGAATTTTGATGCTTGAAGAAGTCCCCCAAAAGAGACTGGCTCTGAAGAGTCCCTCAGGGAGACTCAAAGGGGACTGGCAAAAGTTTGAGCTCTCTCTCCTCTCACCAATTTCTCTGGGTTTTCATCTCCACCAATAAGGAGAGAGTCTCACACTAACTTTGCTTTGGGCAAAGGGTTCACATATTCTATTGCACCGCATAAGACACCAACATAGGTGTAATATAGCATAGGACATAAAAATTGATAAAGGCAGAAACCCCACAAAGAAAAGTTTTCCTAGTGATGACGTGTTGTATCTTCCCAGAGCTAGTACTAAAGCTATTTCCAGGTTCAGAAATGATATTTCAAAGGTTCAGTTTGAAAGAGAGAAGTTGAATGAATAGTGATATACTATATAATTCCCTGGAGATATTGGTGGGGAGTAGATTGTAGTAACACAAAATATTGGTTTTCATATCAATGAAGTGCATCCTGGACTTAAATGTTCTTGGGCCACAACTCTGGAGCCCAGACCTATTTTGTTGGCCTCTGCAACTTTTCAGAAATCTAGTCCAGTCCCAGGTTGAACCAGATATCCTGGAAGATCCTTAGAATAATAAATTGTTAGACCAATCCCAAGGAGTGTGGTTTGGTTTGGTGGTGGTAAGGGAGGAATGGAAGAGATAGTGGGGAAAGTATCTGAAGGAGTTGAGATGAGCTCTCAATACAACCTAATTTGTTTTTTTAAGCTTTTTGGTGAAGCAGTTGGGGTTAAGTGACTTGCCCAGGGTCACACAGCTAGTAAGTGTCAAGTACTTGAGGTCAGATTTGAACTCAGGTCCTCCTGACTCCAAGGCCAGAGCTCCACTGCACCATCTAGTTGCCCCCCTAATTTTTTTTTAAGTGAAATATGAAGCAAAGTTCTTAACTGAGCAAATATGGGGAGGGAGAACCATAGGAGGTTTGAGGAAGGATGAAAAGTTTGAAATAGCCAAGTCCCCTATTACAACCAAAGAGTAGCATGAGAGTAAAAGGGCAACTAGTACTGGAAAAGATTGCCAGGGATACTCTGTCATTAGGAGGGGACCAGTGCCCAGTGAGAGTAAGAAAATTGGAGTCAAGGGAAAAAAAACAAAGAAAAAAATTAAGATGAAAGCAGCTTTTACCTATGAAACTGGCATTCCAGAAAGCTCAGTGGAAATAGTGGGTACATTTTGAAGAAATGTTGCAGGGGGAGGTTGATAGAGGGGAGATTGGAAGCAAGGTGGAAGGCAGAAAGGGGTGGGAATCAAGGCTTATGCAATGACAAGGAAGTAAGATTAGAATCACTGGGTTGGGGAGTATATAATAGAAGTATGCTCATCCTTGAAGGAGTTCAGGCAGATTATCATTGGTCCCTGGCGGCGCTTAGCAGCCAGCACAGACTTTGGACAGACTGAAGGGTAAGCTGGTAGTAAAGAACCAGAAATCAGGTTGGGGCCTTATTAAGATATGGAAGTTCCAGCAGACTCACTAATAATTGAATCACCTCAGGGTTAAATCTTCCCATCAGGCGTCAGGTAGCTTTTTAGTTTGGTAATGTTTGATCTATAACAAATGATTCTAGTGGAGTTTCTGGAGGCAAGGTTGTTCTTCACAACAAAAATGTTGAATGTTGTTTCAAGGTATACGATTCTCATTAAAACGAGATTTGTGTGATTTTTTTTCTTTTCTTTTTTATTCACTGACCTATAGCAATAACTTGGAATGATGCAGAAGGTTCATCAGCTATATGGAATTCTTTCTGTTTTATTTTGCTTTGATCAGATCCTATAATTTGGAGGGGGACAGGGGAAGGACATTTTATCAAAGGAAATTATGTCTTTCCATTTAAAATCATTCATATGATATTTCTTTTTTTGAATTTTGAAGTCATTATAAAGTTGAATGTTGTGTCAATACTCAAAGATTATATGGAACTTTGACTTTTATAGCAAATCATTAGCATCCTAAATTTGTAGCTCTGTTGGAGCTCCACCTTGTGTCCAAGATTCAATATTGTACCCTACCTTAACCTTTTGGAAAACTATTAATGAAATTTTTATTAATTCTGACGGATATAATGCAACTGTGAAACAACAATTATAAATTCAAACTTTAGTAAAATATGTTTGTGGTAAGTATTATATTATTTTCATATTTATTTTAAGTGTCTTCCCCCAATCCCTATTTATCTGACTGTACTGTTTGAAAGAAATAGGTATAAAAACTAAAACTTACTTTTTTGACTATATATAAGAGAGCAACATTTGCATGCCCTCCAGGTGTAGGCACAACAGCTCTAGGGAACTGATCTCAATATGACAAATTTAGCTTTTAGACATTTTCTCTAGTCCTCCATCCATATTATTGAGATAGGGTTCTCCAAGGTACCTTGTCCATACTTCTGGACCCTGGGGCCATAGCTTAGCACAGTGTCTGCCACGTGGTGGGCTCTTAATAAATGCTAGTTAACTGACTGATTGGGACACCTGGGTGCAATTAGCATAGATGATATTTGGTCAAATTGATTTTACTTTTAAATGCTCTGTTGGTATCTAATGTCTCCTCTTAGGAATTCAAGAGCAGGAGTTATGGAAACAGACAAGTACTTAGTACTTATGATAATCTTTGCCATGACAGCAAAATGTCTTTTCTTTTTGATTACTCCTTGTAGATATATATCATTTCTTGAGTGCTGACATTTTCTCATCTTGATTTATTTCCTATAAGCCTTCATTTGGAGTCTGATATTCTTACTATATACTCCATTACATTGTCCTTTCTAACATGAATTACTATGTACATTTTATCAGGTATCTTTCATCTTAAAGTACCAGAGTCTTCTCTAGTTGGCTCTGCCATTGGAAGAATCAGAGCTGTGGATCCTGATTTTGGGAAAAATGCAGAAATTGAATATAATATTGTTCCAGGAGATGGGGGAAACTTGTTTGACATCGTGACAGATGAAGATACCCAGGAAGGGGTCATCAAATTGAAAAAGGTATCTAGACAAAACTTTTGGATATAATGGATATTTCAAAATTGTCGCTTAACTATGATAGTTACTGTAAGTAAGTCTCTCTTGCATAACCTATCCCAACAAGTGATCAGGTAATAATTTGGTGACTTTCGGAGATGTACTGATTCTACATTGCTATTGAGAGCTCCAAGGTAATTGTTATTATAGACCACAGTAAGAATTAAACCTGTAAATACATGAAGTGCCTAAATCTTCATTGAGTCTATACCAGGCTTCACAGCAATTACAAATTTCAATTTAAACAGAAACATAGTTGGGCCTCACATGTAATCTTTACCTGACAGTCTCTTTATACAACCTAGAATCTGAGAGACCTGGGATCCCCTTGTGCCTTTGAGTTGCCTGTATCTATAGAAAGTTTTCAGTTGAACATTTAGTGGCCAAGGCAGATAGTTTCTTGCAGGAGATCCATTTCAGGTAGAATGCCTTGAAAGCTAATGAAAGTGAAGGTAAACAGTGGTTTACATATTTTGAGAGATGGAGTGATTTAAAGAGATGAGTTCAGAACCAAAAAAGGGGGGGCAGGAAATAGAAGGAGAAAAGAGAGATATGTCCTATGATATTAAAACCATCAGGAGAAATAGAAAGTGAGGTTGCATAGGGACTAACAACATTTAGCATTTATCCTGATCCTTCAGGAAATGTACCTTGGGAAATCTATCTTTTTACTTTTTAAAGCTGTATTGATTGTGAATGTATGTAATGAAGGAGTGCAGTGAACAGTTTTGTCAGTGTAATGTTTAGAGTGGAGAGAGAATATAGAATCATAGATAGAGTGAACTAATGAAAACCTGTTTTCACTTCCTGCTTTTGACCTTTACTATTTATGAGATCCTGAGGAAGTCATGTAAGCCCTCAGACCCTCAGCCAATTGCACTCTCTCAAGTCATAGATAGTTGAGTGCTGTATTGGCAAAGGACTTTCTGGACAACTCAAGCTCCCTGACCTATCTACCACAGTGAGGGCAGTTCCTTGGTAATAGTTAGATACAGTCAAAATTAAATTCCATATAGTGCCTGACCTTTCTATGTCCTATGACAAAGTGGAAAATTGTGCTTGCCAAACCCTCCAGGTGACCCATCCCTGTTAGTGGAGGTGATAAGTTTTCTAGGAAGATACTGTTGGATATCTGCCAGATGTGTCACTCATTCTCATTCTCTTGATAATAAATGACAAGTTCCTGGATGGGGTGGAAAGGCCATTATATCCATCAATGGTGACCACACTGCTTCTTGATAGATGGTTCCATTGAGAAGGTAAAAATTTACCTCTCACTAATCAGACTCTAAGTGACTTTTTTTTACTGATGTTCCTCTTCTAGAAATTAAATGATATAATGTGTAAAGCACTTTGCAAAGTGTTAAAGTGTTATTTCAGTTATTATTATAATTATTATTATATTCTAGTTTATGGGAAAATAAAATGTAGAGTTTTATAATTATTTAAATCAAACCAAAGACTAGCACTGAATATATATGTATATATACTATACATTATGTAGAAATATAACATAGAAGAGAAATATATAAAATAAAAAATACATTTTTAAAAACAGGATTGCACAGAATTGCTTTGCATTTAATTTTATACAAATCACTTGGGTAAAGAACACATTGTGTATATGTTTATAACTGGTATAGATTCATAGCATTTACATATCCTTAGTTTTTCCTTACGTTTTATTAAAAAGAATCATCTAAAAATGCGTATAAATTATTTTAATATCTATCTTTGTTTTTCTTACATTAAAACTCTCCTTGTGTCCTGATACATACAAACTGTTATTGTTTATTCCTCAGTTACTTGGTGCAATCTAAGGCTTTCTATGCATCATGGTTTTCTGATTAATTACAAGTGTTTTGTAATAGATATTGGTGTATGGAGAATATTTTCTTTTTGGTGAAAAGTATACATGCTCTTTTGGACTTACATATTTGGTTTACAAATTATTTGTTGATTATTTTTATTAAGATCCACATACTGTATCCTGTGTCTTATAAAGCAGAAGTAAATTAATTCCCTTTAAAAAATTAATCAGAAGCTTGGTGTTATGATTATAAGGAAATAGTCACAGATTATTTAAAAATTTGTATGGAGAAATTCTGTGCTAGCCTCCCATGCCAGCAGTTGTTGGAGAACAGGGCCAAGACTTATACATTTTAATGGATAAAATTTCTGATTTTTCAGTCCCTATGTTTAGAATTTGTGAAGGTATTCTAAGAGACAAAGATAATAAGTTGCTTAAAAATAGATTTAATTCTATTTTCTGTACCATAACTACAGTAGGCCATAACATCTTTGTGGTAGTCATATAAAGAGGTGCACTTGAGCTAAGTTTACAAAAGTGACTCCTCCCCCTTTTCCCCCTCTAACTAGCATAATACTTAGCTCATAGTAGGTACTTCATAAATTAAATTTAATTGAAACATATTTGTTCCACTGAAGTTATCTTATTCTAGGACAGGATCAATAAGAAATGGTCTGGTTGGGCTCTGTATGCTGTGTATATACTATATGAAGGAAATAATGTGGAAAATTGAGGAAATCGCTGGATAACGTGGTACAAAAACAAAAGAAAACACTTTTGCTTAAATTGCCTGAAACATTACTGCTCAAAGTTATCTAAGTAGTAATAATTTCTCCCTTCCATTTTAATAGTGAAACTGTACAGTTTCAGCACGATAGAACATTTCTATTGCCTTAATTCATAGAAAATACTAAGACATTATCTATCTGAAATGATGGAATCAGCTTGAAGATAGCCAATATAGCATTTCTGCCTGTTTTACCAAGTGAATGACTAGTAATCAAGACAGTCCATCGTGCACCACCATGTTGTTGTAATTGTTCAGTCTTCTGAGTCATTTCTGACTCTTTGTGAGCCCACATGGGGTTTTCTTGGCAAAGATACTGGAGTGGTTTGCTGTTTCCTTCTCTAGTGTATTATGGCAAACAAAGGTTAAGTGACTTACTTTGGGTCACACATCTAGTGAGTGTCTGAGGCCCTATTTGAACTCAGGTCTTCCTGACTCTAGGTCCAGTGCTCTATCCATTGAACCACCTAGCTACCTGCACCACTATGACCTTTTTTTTTTAAGAGTTAAAATAAGTTTATCAAAAATATTTTAATTATCTTAGCTCCATAGTTATGGACTACATCTGAAAGCTAATGATTTAATACTACAAGGATCAGTTGCATCATTGGATGAATTAAATAAAATAAATACACCATATGGCTCATTTAATTGAATGCTAGTCCTGGACTTAGGAAGACCTGAGTTCAAATCCAGCATCTGACACTTACTAGCTATGTGATCCTGGGCAAGCCACTTAACCCTCTTTGCCTCAGTTTCCTCATCTATAAAATGAATAGAGAAGGAAATGGCAAACCACTCTAATATCTTTGCCAAGAAAACCCCAGATGGAGTCACGAAGAGTCGGATATGACTTAAACAACTGAACAACAATAGCAACAATTATAAATACAAATAATTATAAGCATATATTATAATTTTACTTGGAAATAAAATGTTTTTGCCCTGCAACTGATGCAGCTTGGGCCTTCAAGGTACTCTCAAATTCTGGTTCCTCTAGTATTTTTAAGTATGTGAAGTGGTCCTGCTGGAATAGTATTTATATTATACAAATAAAGGAGAGATTTGTCAATTATTTGATTAATTTATTCTCTGTAGACCAAAAAATTCCAAACATGGAAGGAATCTCAAAAGTCATTTAGTTCAATCTGAACTTGCAGTATTCCTAGTTACCCATCATCCTTCTTCTCCCCACCTCCCCACCTAACAAAATATGAGCTCCTTGAGATTAGTGACTGATTTGTTTTTGTTTTTGCAGTTCTAGCATCTAGCACAGTATCAAGCATGTCGTTAATGATTAGTGAGTGCTTGTTGAATGAATGATCTTTTATCTGGATGACTTGTAATTATACTATTAATTGATCAGGCTCTCTGCGTCTAGCCTCACCCCTTTTACCTTACACACAAATATTAAATTGATCTTCCTAAAATGTAGTTCAAACTAGTTACCCTCCTTCACCAAAAAGGCTTTTTAGTGGTTCCTTCTGCTGCTAAGATAAAATACAAAATTGTTAACCTGGCATTTGAAGGCCTCTAGTCTTGTTAATATTACTCTCCTTCATACTCTACCACTTCTTGTCACACCAGCCTCCTAGCTGTTCCCTGTATGCATCTCCCACTTCTGGGTCTTTGAGAGGTGTTTGCTTATGACTAGAATGTACTTTCTCCTTATTTTGGTTTTATAGACTCCCTAGCATCTGTGAAGATCCTGTTAAGATGTCACCTCCTACAAGGGACCTTTCTTGGTTCTCCCAAATTATTAGCATTTTCTCCCTTTTTAAATTACTTTGACTATTTTATATCTACTTTGTAAGCACAAGTAACCACACACATGTAAATATGCATGCATATGTGAATATAAATTGTTGTGTTCCACATAACCACCCCAATGACATGGAAGCTTCTTTCAGGCAAGAACTAAGGTTTTTATTTTTGCTTCACTGCACTGGCAGTGTACCTTAAACATAGTAGATACTTAATACTTAATAAAATACTTAATGCTGTTGGGTTTCAATTGTTTTTAGTTCTGTGCTCTGGAGAGAAGCAAAATAAATCTAATCTCTCTTCAATTTTATAATCCTTCAACTGCTTGAAAATAACTATCTTCTCTAGATCATCAGTATGGATAATTTATTCCAAAATATCAGCTTTGTTGATCTTTATAGAATTTTTTTTCCTAAGTCATAGTTGGATAACACTGACTCTGGACTAAAAAATCCTGGACTTTGAATTTCACTCCTATCAATTACTCCACCTATGTTAAGTGACTTTAGACAAATGGCTCCATTTCTCTGGCTTCAGTTTCCTCTGAGGGGATTAGACGATGTGATGTCTAAATAGTTCTAAGTCTATGATCTTTGTTCAGAT